GGCGGCGGCCCGAAGCGGCGCGCTGAGCGCGCCAGTTAAAAAAAGCACCGGGGAGCCGGGAGAAGCGGGGGGCCGTATTAAATCCGACCGCGGGCCGCATTTGGCCCGCGGGCCGGACTTTGGACATGCCTGCTGTAGTGGGTACCTGAGTGCTTCCCAGTGCTTATGGAGTTATCCCCCAATATCCCTGTCAGGTAGTCCTTGTTTTACTGAAGCGGCGCGCTGAGCGCGCCAGTTAAAAAAAGCACCGGGGAGCCGGGAGAAGCGGGGGGCCGTATTAAATCCGACCGCGGGCCGCATTTGGCCCGCGGGCCGGACTTTGGACATGCCTGCTGTAGTGGGTACCTGAGTGCTTCCCAGTGCTTATGGAGTTATCCCCCAATATCCCTGTCAGGTAGTCCTTGTTTTACTGATGGGGATTTGGATGCTAAGAGATGCGTGACTTGTTCAAGAGCACTCAAAGCAGAGCCAAAGGCTTCACCCAGATCTCCTGAGTCTCTGACCAGGGCCTTAATCACAGGACTTTACACCTCCTTGTGAAGAAGGTTGGAAATTGGCCAGATAGTGGAAAGTTGGTTAAAACTAGAGCCCTGCAAATCCGTGGATACTCTCTTTATAGCCACAGTTATCTGCATCTGCAGCTTGTTCTTGTGGATATGGATGTGGATACAAATTTTGTGTTCTCTCAGGGCTCTAGTTATCCCCTTTTCTGTGGCGGTGCTCCCATGGGTTCATGATGAAGGCTGTTTCCCAACCTGTGTGTTCGTTCTCTCTCTCCTAGGAATGATTCTCACCTTAAAAGACACAGGACTCCCAAAGTGTGTTCTTTCAGGTCCACCGCAACTGGTGAGTAGCTGTTTCTTTCAGAAGTGGGGACCCTCTAAGAGTCCAAGACCTAAACCATGAGGGTTTGCCAAGGACCACCCTGTAACTGTTTGGTTCTGCTTTCGGGCTTGGCTTCATGGGATGCACAGCTTGCTTGTGTGTCGTCCCAATTAGAAACCACTCTAGACAGCAGCAGACTGCCATCACTTGGAACAGTCTCATCTGGTGCAGGCTCTCCAGTAGATGGAACAGCCATTCTCCACCTGTCTCCTTCAGCAGTGTGATGGGGCAGTTCTTTTGGCAACCATTAGGGTTCTCTGCAAGTGTCTGACCAAATTCTAAATCTTGCAAGAGAATTCTGGTAACATAGATTCAGTGTTGGCCTCAGTGTCTGGACTGTTGGTTCCTCTCATCAGGAGTACAGTATCCATGGGCACTGCATGATTGTCCACTTGTCGAAGCTCTTCTCCTTGACCTTCATATTCATTTTCCTAATCCCTGGCCTAAAGAGAAAGTGTTTACTGGGTGGGAGAACTCTCTGGCTAGCTTTCTGGCTCTGCAGCTATTGGGGCCACATGTCACTTTCGGGGAGATGCTGCCCTACACTACAAAAATGAATGTACTTACAGTGAGAAGAAACATGGTGCCCACTCTTTTCCCTGTAGTAGAAAGAGAGTTGGGATGAGGCCTAAACCAAAGTCCGGTCTTGCTGACTTAATGCAAAGTAAGCAAGAGTTAGGCTGAGCAAAGTCAGTCTCTGTTCCAAAGCAGATGCCTGCTTGCAGATTCCCCATCTGGTACGTGAACTTGGCAAGAACATGGCTGATGTTGCACAAACACAGAACACCCTAGGAAGTGCAAGGCACTGGACACTTGTGCAGATCTATTCCAGAGGGCTGGTGCCAGAACACCCCGTGTGAAGTTATGGTATAAACACATCAGAGATAATGGTACAAAGAATAGGGTGGAGTCAGCTTTTCTCCTAACTGGGAGTTGAGATGATGAGCTTCTCTGCACCTCACTGCATCTCACCTTCTCTGCATCTCACTGCTTTCAATGTCATGCTTTGATTCAGAAAGTTACCTGATCCGAGGCAGTGACCTCTCTTTGGGTGGTGGGTTTTTTACCGTATTGTCTTTTTTCCAGCAAAATTACTTGGAAGCTATCAAAGTGTTTTCTGGGCCACTGAAAGGAATAGACTTGGGTATGTACAGCATTCATCCATGTGCACTTCCTGTCTCTAATGTCTGCACCTTCCTGCCCGATGTATGTCTCTGAATAGCAGCCTCTTGATGCATGAGGTGTTAAAGAAGCACTCCAGGATGACAAGCCCTTGCAGAGAAGCTTCACTGCAGAGGATGTGGGGGGAGACCCATCATAGCTTCCCTTGGGGGGGGGGGGCACATGAATCATGGTATCACAGGACTGGAAGAGAAGGTCTATCCTAGGACTGACAAGCACTTGTCATTGTGGAGCATAACTGTCCCTCCTAAGATGTCACCTGGTTACAATAAATCAACCTTAGTGTGGCTGCTGCATAGAGGTGGTGTCTCCTGACATTCTAAAACCAGCTTGCAGTTACTCGAGAGCTTGCTTTCTTCTTCCGTGTACGCAGTGGTCCATGCGAATAGAACGCTTCCACTCCCCCCCAGCCAGAGTTCGTGCTGCCCTGCGCCAAGCGCTGTCCTGGGGCTGTGTAAAGGCAGAAAGGAAACGTGGAAACCCTGAGGCCGTAGAACCCTCTCCCGTTCAGAGCTGTGTAGTGATGGATTGCTTTAATCGCTGCTGCTTAGGACAGATGAGGAGAGTTGCTTTCTCTTGATGTTCTGTGTATTTATCCCTGCGGCAGTGGAGAGTTTCAGCATCTGGCCTGAGGAAACTGCCTGAAGAGCCACTCCCAGGACTTTCCAAGATTTGCGCGCTCCTGCATGCACTAAAACACCTCTCTGCTTTCAAGAGTCCTGGCGTGCCGGCGTCTGCAGTGGCTGGTTAATACAAGCTTCGGAGGGGCTCGTAGCCAGGCTGATGTCTAATGTTTTCACTGTCTTGTTGCTAGTTGTGCGGCCCCATACAGAGCCCGAGTACAAGGATGAGACCATGACCGTCTACCAAGTACCTCTTGTGGGTGAGTGTGGGAGTCTGGCTTGAGTGGTTGGCAGCAAAGGGTGTCTGGAGCAGAAAGGGGAGCAGGATTACTTGTGACGCTGGCTGTGGTACGTGGTTACTGTTTGTGAACCTGACCATAATGACAGCCTTGTGTGTGTACCTCTCGTGGTGAGAACACAGCTTTGAAGGAAACCTTGAGCAGTGCCTCCACTAGAGGTCGGGGGTCTTCCTTCAGCTGATTGCCCATGGAAGGGAAGTTATTGTGAGCCATGCTTCCTTAACTGTCTTTCCATGTGACAGGTGCACTCCTGCTGCACTGGGGGGACGTGCTTGAGCATGGCATTTGGAGAGCTCTTGAAATGGGCGAAGTGTAATATGCAGAAACAAGGGGCCAGGGGCTCTGCCCTTTTAAACTGATCAGGGCATTTTGGAGAAACTTTCTGAAGGAAGCGCCGTGTGTGTGTTCTCACTCTTGCCTCCTGAGCAAGTCTGTTTCTTTTCCTCCCTTGGGGTTGGGACAGGAAGGCGCTTGGCCAATGAGCACAGGCTGCATCAGAGTCCTGAACGTGGAGTCAGCCCCGAATGTGCCCCAGAGCCTGGCTTTCCCACTGCTGAGCACCAGTGTCCAGAGGGCAACAAGAAGAGAGAAGCCTCGAAGAAAACAGGTGCAGGAACTTGTGTTTTCTTAGTGTGATTGGGACAAAACCTCGGAAATTGTAGACGTGGTGTAATTGCTTCCCTGCATGAATCTTCTTGGTGAAATAAGAAAGAGCTGGTGCTCTCTGCTGAAATATTGCTTGGGGATAATGTGAGCAGAAGGAGAACACAAGGCAAGTCAAGATCTAGTGGATGGACCCTGACACTAGACAGATTCACCATTTTGTAGCAAACGTTGATGTGAAGTTATTCCAGGGGTCAGTTATCTTGGAACAGGGCGGACTCTGTCCCCTCAAGTCGTGAAATTAAGACCCTATCTTTGGGTTTGATGGAGGGATCCCTGGCTTAGCGCTCTGGTCTGTGCTGTATTTGAGGTTGGGTTTGGATGACCATAATAGTCCCGCATGGCTACGGCTGCACATGGCACAGAGGTCACGGATTCCATGACTTTCCATGACCTCCGGAACGGCCAGTGTGGGATTCAAGCAGCCCCACAGCCAGTTGCTTCTCGAATGACTCTAGGCAGCTCAGATTTAGTCGGGGAATAAAGGGTGAGGGCAGGAAATGAGCTGTGAATTTTTGTTTACTGCCTGTGGCCTGTCTGACTTGAATGAAAAATGCCCATGACTAAATCCTAGCCTTACTTATGGCCCTTGTGAGTAAAGTCACAGGAAGGGCCGGGATGGGACACTGCGGGAAACTGGCACCTTTTGTTTTAAGGAAGAAGATGCTCCAGCTACGTTGTCCTGTGTAACTTTGCCTTTTTGTGGTGGTGTTTTCTCTTTGGTTTTTTAAGATGGCAACAGGAGAGTTGTCAGCAGAGACCCAACGCTGGTGGTTGCTTTCATCTGTAAAGTAAGAAGTGTCATTCTTGTATCTAGATCAGTTTAATACCGATACCACCTTTTAGCTGGATTGGGGGGTTTGGCCACCATTTGTACTCAGTAACGCTGCACTCAAATGTAGCAGTCGAGAGAGAACGGGATTTGAATGCTGTCTGGGTGCTTTACTCTTAGAAGTGACCTACAACAGAAACAACTTTGTCGTGCTCCTTCACGTAGGCTAGAAAGATATTTCTGCTTGTCTATTACATTACAAATTCAGGTCTTATCTACCCTGCTTTTCCTAGACGACCTTGTGACTGGGGACCTGGTAGGGTTATGAGACAGGATGCAGAGCTGCTGTTTAAGATGCTTTGGGTAGCTGTGTATTTGTGTAACACTTATGTGATTCTGCTGCTGGACTCTTGAAAGAAAATATCTTAGACTCTCCACCTCTACGGGTTGGAGCTCCAGAGCCATACCTCTGGGCAGATAAGCCACTGAAGCGGAACAGAGGATTTGCTGTTCCTGAGAATTAAAACCCCCAGCCTTGTAGTAAATGTCTCCTGCAGTCCCTTCTCGTGGCTATTACAGAGCCAGTGAGGGCGTGAGCCCCGTTCTTGCTCCTCCCATTCCATTCGTGTTGGAACATTGTGACATGTTGGTGGCTCCTTACATGAGAGCATCAAGTGAAGCGCTTCTCTCTTTTCGATTCCTGCCAGCTTCACCCAAAGAAGGGGAACTTCTTGGTGGCTAAAGCAAAGGAGCTGGGCCTGCCAGTGTAAGTACCGGAGCCCTGCCTGCGTGCTGGGGGGAAGGGAGGGGCCTGGCCGTACCGACGCTGCCACTGTCTGTGTTCTCATCCATAGTGGAACTGCAGCCATTGGGCCCATCATTGCGGCTGTCAAAGACGGGCAGAGCGTGACGTTCGAGGGCAGAGAGGTACGACTGCGCTCTCGGCCCTGGGACCCAGCTCACTCAGAATGTAGGAACTAAGGCCGGCCATAGTCAGCCTCTTTGGGGGCCCCACGGGTCTGCCACTGCAACCAGTCCCGTCCTCTCATTACTCCTGCCAGGAGCTAGGGCTGATTGACCTGACCCGCAATGTACCTCGGAGAGGCGGGAATCAGTTTGGCATGTTTCCTTGGGTTCCCCAGACTCTGGCAGCTTTCCCAGCCTCGCTCCCTCTGCACTGATCATGGCGATAAGTGAGCAACACGGGTCCCGATCCCCAAGGGAGCCCATGTGAGCACACCCTGGTGCGCTGCACTGAGGTGCTTTGTGCAGGCCGTTGTTAGGGGCCCATTGCACCAGGTGAACCAGGGAACCAATGATCTGAGTAATCACCAGGCTCGGGGGAGAGGGCGGCGCCAGTGCCAGAGGGGCGCGCTGAGCATTGAGCAGTGCACCTGGCACCCAGCGGCAGAAGGAGCATGCCCGTTCCCAGCCAGCTGTGCGTGGAGTGAGGCGAGGCTGGGGTTGGAGCGCATGGGCCGTTGGCCCTGTTGCCAAGAGGGAGCCAGTCACCCAGGCGCGTTCTGACAGCTCGTACCGTGGGCTGAGCATGGGGTAACCCGGCTGCCTCCATTGCAGATCCTGCCCGAAGAGGTGTGTACCCCGCCTGACCCAGGCCCCGTGTTCATTGTCGTAGAGTGTCCTCATGCAGGCTTTGTGGATGCCGTCTGTGAAAACGACACATTCCGCAGGTGCAGTGGGGGTGGTGGGACAGGGAGTGGGCTGGGGGTATCAGGCTGGGGCGTTTCTGTAGAACAGTGGAAATCTCCTGTTAGCCTGACTACAGATGGAATCCGCCGCGCTTCGTGGGCAGTGGCGGAGTCTGAATGGCCTGGTTACCGAAAGCTGCAGATAGTGTCCGAGATCTGGAGCTCCTAAAGGCACAGAAGTTGGAGTATGAGAGGCAGGGCTGTGGCCCGGTGTGCTCTGTGCAGGGCGCTTGCTCTCTGACTCGCTCCTGGGCGGGATGTTACCTACACCGTGCAAGGCCTGTCTTGGGAGAGGGGACTTGACGCTCTGTGGTCCTGGGCCAATCTGCAGGGCCAGACCCCTGGAGAAACTTGCTGTCCCCTCTTCCACCCAGCTCCCAGCCCTGAGCTCTTCCCCAAGCCTGGAGCCTCCTCTGGCATCCTAACGCCTTTGTCCCTGGGCCCACCCAGAGCCATCACCCCTTGTACACCCCAATCCCCTGTCTCAGCCCACAGCCCCCTGCTGTATTCTGGATCCCTCTCCCGCATCCTAAACTCCTCATCCCCAGAGCCTTGCACCCCATCTGGGAGCCCACATCCCCAGCGGAAACATCCCACCATGCCACCCCAAGCTTCTCTCCCAGACCCCCTCCCACGCTCCTGCCATGTCACACACCTCCACATGCACAAAGCGAAATTCAAGGGAACACGGGCCATGAGCCCCCCAGCCCCCTCCTGCAGCACTCCTGCCTGGGAAATCAGCTTCCATGTTTGGTGCATTATTGTTCCTCCCTGGGCGGAGTGTTTTGCATTTGTCCTTATTGATTTTCATCCTGTTTATTTCAGACCATTTCTCCAATTTGTGCAGATCATTTTAAGTTTTAATCCTACCACCGAAGCACTTTCACCCCTCCCCGCTGGGTATTGTTCACGGTCTTTTTCAAGGATAATCTTATGTTCTTAAATAATTTAGATAAACATAAGAATGGCCACACTGGGTTCTTCCAAATGCCCGTCCTGCCCAATAGCCTGTCTTCTGACTAGGGCTGTAAAATCCCATTTAAAATATTAACCTGTTAAACTATATGGTTAATCAGTTAACGGGCCTGCTGTGTCATGCGGCAGGCGATGGGCCCAGCTGCTCTGGCCAGGCGCCAGTTAACAAGTTATCCCGATACCCGGTAAACATTGCCTTACCATCACACGTAACTGGTTAACCCGGGTGCTTCAGAGGGAAAGAACAGAACAGGTAATCCCCACGTGAGCGCTCTCCTGTTGCCCATTCCTGGCTTCAGAGGCTAGGGGCATTGTTCCTGCCCATTCTGGCTAATATGGAACATATTGAACAGAACCGGCCCTGAAGTGATCCCTGTGGGACCCCGGCCAACGTGCCCTTCTAGCTGGACTGTGAACCCTTGATAGCTGACTCCTGGAGATGGATTAGGCGCCTGCCTGACGGGAGCAGTTGTACCTCCCTAGTGTACGAAGGGGTTGTGTGAGGGATGATTTAAAACCTTTACTAAAGTCAAGAGAAACCACGTCTGCTGCTTCTCCCTTCCCCCAGTCCTTTCAGGTGGTTCCACGGTTTGTTCTTGACAACTCTGCCTTGACTTACCACCTTATCTTTTAGGTGTTGCAAGTTGGTTCTTTGCTCCACTATCTTTGTGAGCTCCGAGGTTAAGCTGACTGGTCTGTCACTCCCTGCACTGGCCTTACTCTCCTCTTTCAGATTGGCACTGTGCTTGCCCCTTTCCATGACTTTTCAGAGAGAATCACAAACGCTCCGATATCTCCTCAGTCGGCTCTTTGAGTCTTCTGGGGTCTGCTTCATTGGGCCCTGGTGACGTCAGAGCATCTAACTCCGAGTCGTTGTGGTGAAACCTGAAAGTCGTTTAGCACTTCTGCCATTTCTGTTGTTTCTCTCGTGGTGGACTATCTGTCGACAAAGCCTCTATCAACAAAGAGGGTCTAGACTACAGCCAGTTCTGTCGACAAAGCCAGCTGCTTTGTCGACATGACAGTGTAGACGCAAAGAACAGTGTAGATGCAATAACGCCTTCTGGCGACAGCACTCTGTCCACAAAAGGCGTTATTCCTCGTAGAATGAGGTTTACCGCCGTCGACACAACTGCTGAGTTCTGTTGATGTTATGTGGACAGAACTCAGTGGCAGTGTAGGTGCAGGGATAGTTTTGTTGACAAAACCCTGTAGTCTAGACACACCCTGAGTAACAGGCCTGCCCTGTCCTTGGTCTTCCTCTTGCTTGTGAGAAGCTATCACCCTCGTACCGACGGAGGCCGTGGGCCCTCTGGTAAATGACTGGCCCGGGGCCACTGGGGAGTCGTGGAACCCAAACACCTTTGCTCTCAATCTGAGCCGTGACGTATCTGCTAGGCTCCCTTCCAGGGGGAGTTGTGTGTGCTTCCGGGAGGGCCCAGTCAGAAAGAGCAGCTGTGTCCTTGGGTGAGGGGAGATCTCGCTGGAGTAGGAGTCAAGCACTGTGTCATCTTGGCTCTTAAATGTTTGTTCTAGATACCAAGAAGGGAAGGCTGAGGGCCCCGTGGCCTTGGTGGTTCACATCACCCCAGAGTCGGTGCTTCAGGACAGCCGGTACAGAGAGTGGCTGGAAAGGTACGGGAGAGTTGTTCACGGTGGCTTAAAGCAGGGCTACTCAACACGCGGCCCGTTGGTTTGCGGCCCGTGGAGCAGTTTGGGTTTCCGGTGCAGTTTGGCTTGATAAGTGTTTTAGTGGTTAAATCTCTGGACTGTTGTGAAGCCAAAACAAATAGTCAATAGAATGGTCTTCTGTTGAGATGCGGTTTAGTAGTTAAACTCCTGGACTGCCATAGCTCATTAAAAGTGCTGTCATGCGGGTGGAAATGGGGTAAATGGTGCATTTTATTAATAGCAGCAGAACTGACTTAAATGGGGCCTGTGTGTTGTGTAGTCTTGCCTCATTTTTTGTATTCGTGCCTGTCAGTATGAAAAGCTATTTGCATATATTTGCATGTATAGGCAACCACCCTTAAGCTGCGGCCCTCAGCATGTGCTGTGAGTGTCATTGTGGCCCCCGGGGCTTCCAAAGTTGAGTAGCCCTGGCTTAAAGTAACTTTCACATTTGCCGGGATCTCAGACTGGTTAGTGAGCCCTGGTGCCCAGCAGCCGGTTGGAGCTGAGCACTGAGCTTATTGGGCCATCTTTCTCCAGGTTTGCACCCTCGACTCAGCACTTGATACTTAATGAGAATGTGAGCACCGTGCACTGCCTCCGCAGCCACAAAATCCAGACCCAGCTGAATCTCATTCACTCCGAAATCTTCCCGCTGCTCAACAGCTCCTGGAGTCAGGTAAGAGGCTGGGCATCCCTTCAGGTGTCCACAGAGGCCAGCTCGCGCACGCTTCTATGTTGCTCCTTCTGTCTCATCCAGGAAGAAGAGGCCACTTTCAGCGTGCCTGTCGTGCGGGGAGAGTGCCTCCTGAGATACCAGCTGAGGCCCCAGCCGCAGTGGCAGAGGTTGGCACGCTTGGTTATATAGAAACTAGAGAGAGATCTGGCTTGGGGGCACCTGCCTGGAAGCAGGTGTAATTTCAGATCAGATGATGAGCGCAGACCGCGGGGGGGGATGCAGCAAAGGTGGCTTGAAGTCACCTTTACACTCTTTGTTTCTGGCCAGCCTGTGCAGGGACAGAGCCCTGGAGAAGCTTTGATCAGCCCGGGGGTGTGGGTGCGTTGTGGTGTCCCCAAAGAACTCAAGGCCCCGTTTTACTGAATGCTGCACAAATCTCTCGTAAGACAGTCTGGGCGCCGGAGCACTTAGTCTGGGTTTGTCTGGACCCATGGGGTGCCCAGTGTTCGTGTGACCCTAGAGGTTTCATAGCGCTAGGGCAAGAAGGAATCATTCTATCATCTCGCCCAGTGGCTCTGTCTCCCACACCACTGTGCCCCTCTCCCAAGTTTGATTTGTCTTGCGCACCCCAAGTCTCCCCCGGATATTTAAAGCCGAGTGGCGCGCGTCGTCAGGCATGTGGCCATAGAGGGGTCACAGCCACACCTACTGGACAGTTGTGTCATTGTGGCCATCTCGTTAGAACATGAAACGCGGCGCTTGCGTGTCAGAGTGTAGCACAGCGAGTGGGCTAAGCAGGCCATTGTAGGAAATACTTGTACTGACTTGGCTAGTGATTTTTATGGAGCCTGGTATAAAACTAGGCCAGTAGCTGGATGAATGGCTGCATCCCTGGAAGAGCTCTACGTGTCCCCATTTGAGAACCTCTGACCTGTATGTCACAGGCCATTACGTTACCCTCTAACCCCGGAGCCAGTCACGTGGCTTGGGTTGGATTGAAGCATTTCAGTCCTCCGGACACTAAGCTGCCACTGCCGGCCGGAGCTGGTCTGGCGTCCTACCTGGGATCCTGCTTTGGTCGGTTAACCATAGGGCAACCCAACGTTAGCCGGCTCGCTGAGTAGCCGGGGTTCACATCCCTGGTGGGGCGCGATGAGCTCTGTAGCGGGCAGGTGGATTTCAGCACGGTGCTGCCGGCTGCCCTGGAGCTGCGCAGGGTTTGCTGGCACCCGGTGGAATGTGCAGCCCTTAAACCCTGGGATCATGCACCGATTGCTTTGGGCTGGAGTTCCCGCCCATGGCCACTGCCCCCTGCAGGCTGGTGTCAGTCCTGGGGATGAGGCATCGCACTGCCCTCTGGTGGATGGTAGGTTTAAAGCCGGCACCTCTGGGGACTTTCCTAACTAGACTAGTGTCTAATTTATGGGATAAAGTGTCATGTTACTGCTTAAACTCTTCAGCTCCTCCCCTCCCCTTCCTGATTTGGGGCCTATGGGTCGTTGCAGAGACATGGTTACTGTCTGCAGTCCCACCGAATTTGTGGCTGAAGCCCTCGAGCTTCCTGGCTTCCAGGACTGTGTGAAGGAGTGCCGAGAGCGCCTGCAGGCTGGGCCGGACCGGGCGGGTGAGAAGTGCACAAGACCTCTGATGGGGACACCATCTAGGGTCTGGCTTGAGCTGGGTGGAAACCGGGGACTTGTGTGTAAGCGGATACTGTCCAGGTGAAAGGTTCCCATCGCCCTGCAAGCTAACGAACTCCGCCTGTCGTTGGGTCCCTTGGAGCCTGCAGAGCACGGGATAGGCTTGCTCCCACTGGCGCTTTGTTGCTCAGCATGGCACAGGCCAGTAGGCATGCTTGGCTCGCGGAGGGTGCTGGCTTTGGGGCTCCAGCACTGCAGGGGGAAGGTTTAATCACCAGCAGCCCCCTAGCACTGCTGCGGGCAGCGCCCCCCTGGCATTCTGCTCCAGTGTTCTGCTCACGTTCTGCTCTGCACTAGTTGCTGTGGGCGTGTGGAGTATGAGAGGAGCAGCATCCAATCCACAGCTGGCTCCCTCCGGAGCCAGGCTCCAGTCCTGTGGCTAGGCAATGCCCATGGCGTGTGATACTGGCAGCACAGCCTGTCCTGTGGCCTGCCACGGGGCCCTGTCCCTTCTTATTGGGCAGCAGCATGTCCGTCCCCACCAAGCCCAGTCCTGCCTCCGCCAGGGTGGGCCTGCAGCCAGGTGTCCTGCTAGCGCTGTTCTCCCCATCCCCACTCCAGTAGCAGTGATGCTGTGGGGAGTTGAGGCGGGGGCTCACACTCCGCTGTCTGCACCTGTGCAGGGTCTGGAGATCTGCTCCGATGCTTCTGGCCTGACCATCCTGCAGGGCAGCAGGCTCTTGCCAGCGTTCGCTCAAAGCGTGTTACGTATTTTCTCTAGGCAAAACTGAGCCTTACCCAGAAATAGTCTTCCTCGGAACGGGCTCTGCGATTCCAATGAAAATCCGGAACGTCAGCTCCACGCTGATAAATATCAGGTGACAGCTGGCGGCGCTCTGCGCCTTTCCTCCCTGGGGGTTGGCCACGTCTCCCTCGGGGTTTGGCCCTACTAACCTGCAGGGCTGGGAGTGGGCCAGGCAGCGTTGCACAATGGTCACTGCGCGAGACCCCTGCCTTTCTGGGGGCTGTTCAGGGTGTCTGGTGGCCTCGCCTGAGAGCAAGAGCTGCAGCAGCTGTGGAGACTGACCCTTCCATGTCCCTCCTACAGAGGCAGCTGTTTGCTGCATTTCACCCCCAGCTGTCCCTTCTCAGCTTCCCCCTTTGCGCTGCAGTGCTGGGCAGTGTCTGTGCACGCCAGCTCCTGCCAGCAATACACCCGCTCTCTCCCCAGCCCCACCCAGTCGCTGCTTCTGGACTGCGGGGAGGGCACGTTTGGCCAGCTCTGCCGCCACTACGGGGACCAGGTGGACACAATTCTGCGCAACACGGCAGCCGTGTTTGTGTCCCACATTCATGCTGATCATCACACGGTGAGTGCTGCGGGGCAGCCGCTTCCCCGCTGGGTGTGGCTTGTGCCCACCTCCGGGGGACTCCTGTCCCAGCAAGTTCTGCCACGTGCAGCGTGTGTTCTCCTGGGAATGGTTCTGCCGCTTCCAGTACCCACGTCAGACCTCCTCTGCTGGGTGCGGGTCTGCTGCCCATCCCTGGAATGAGTCCCCCAGCTGCATCTCGGGCTGCTGGCCCCAAGCCTCTAGCTCTGGTCCCCGCAGGTGGGGACAGGCTGGGTGAAGAAACATGGGTTTTTGCTGAGCCTGTTTCTGGGGGGTCTCTGGCTCCCAGCAGCGCACTCGGCACCACAGGAATGTGCTTCAGCGAGCGAGCAGGCCCCGCTCCAGGCAAGCTGTGTTCCTTGCCCTCCGCCGGGGCTGCCTTTTCCAGCGGCCATGGGGCAGCAGAGTCGGGGGCCGGTCTCATATCAAGTACTTCAGCTTCGCTGGAACCGTTGGGTGTTGGGCCAGTGTTCTCTGCTACTTGCCGCTGCAGCCCTGGCCCAGGCCCCAGGAAGGGGGTTCTCCTTCAGGGCTGAAGTTGCCTTGGCTGCGTATTTCCCCCTCCTTCCAGGGGGCTGGGCTACAGGGTTGCCTTCTCTTGGTTGCCAAGGCCATCTGAGCATCGGGGCGGGCCAGGAGCAGCGCTCCTCCCTCGAGCAGGGCCCCACACTTCCCTGGGCTGGAGAGAGGGCTGTGTCATCGGCCCCACCCAGACAGGTGGCTGTCTCAGGGCTGAAGTTGCCTTGGCTGCGTATTTCCCCCTCCTTCCAGGGGGCTGGGCTACAGGGTTGCCTTCTCTTGGTTGCCAAGGCCATCTGAGCATCGGGGCGGGCCAGGAGCAGCGCTCCTCCCTCGAGCAGGGCCCCACACTTCCCTGGGCTGGAGAGAGGGCTGTGTCATCGGCCCCACCCAGACAGGTGGCTGTCTCGCACGGTAGCTGACTGACCAGCTCTGCCTTCTTCTCCCTTCAGGGC